CACCCTGAAAAGAACAAGAAAACATGTCGAGAGAGAGAGAGAGAGAGAGGATACGTTTTCTGTACTAGCGTCGTTGTATTTTTATTTTTTGTTTGATAAATACATCGAGTAGCAAATTCGTCGCCCTTCAATCAAAGATAGAGGAGATATTCAAAAAAGGAAAAAAAAAGAACTAAACTGGATAAAGTTGGATCGATTTCGGTAGACGATTATGAAATTGATAGTTAAAATTGTATGCTTCACTATTGAACAAATATTTAACAGCAACTTTGTTTCGAATCAATTTTGTCCACACACTTTGACCTGTTTCTATAGTCGATAACAAATTCTAGTCCAATAACTTACTTACCTTGAAGGTGTGTATGAGGTAAGGCACAAAACACTGTAATACCAGATTTTGGGAGGCTCTAAAGAAAAGTATACAGAAAAATTAGAGATTTCTTATATTTCTCTTCGGTTTTCTCAAATATTCGAGTGTAATGATCTGAAATAGATCAGTCACTTTTCTAACGTATAGTTACCAAACATTTTCAAGATCGAATCTACTATATCTATTTCGAATAGTATATTGTCCAGTTCAACACTTTTTAAACTGTTTCATTCAAGAAAAGAAGACGATCGACTTTTTAGTATCTGGACAAATTATTGAAATTCTTTGTTATTTCGTAGATGTTTGAATATTTTGAAAGAAAAGTGGAATGAATACTTGTGATTAACGTTAAAAGCTGTTTTAGAATAGACTGAAAATTTTCAAATGACAAATTGATCAAATATAAAAGTATCCCGTTTTCTAAATGAAAAGCATTAAAAGAGAAAGCACACTACTCAAAAAACAATAAATGTTCAAGCCCTATAGAGAATTTACTTTTCTATCGAATCTTACATGACTTCGACAACGAGTAGCAATGAATCAAGATACGTCTCAGTCAGTTCTTTTTTAGAATAGAATAGCTACTTCTCTTTAACAAGCTTTCTAGTTCCAAATTGGAATCTAGTTCTGAATCTAATGATACATACACTAGTCGCGCTGGCTGGACAGTAGGAATCGATGACAAATTGATCTACTCCTGATGGGATAGCCAAAGCTTGTGCATTCGCATCGGTACCGAACGTTAGGTAGCCAATGTCATGTTCACGAAGATCATTACCAAGATAAAATCGAATACCTGTCGTGTCGGGATGATCTAAGAAGAGACAATGTTCCTAATCAACAAGAGAGAAGATATATTACTTAAGACCATATGTGGATTGTCATAATGGATCTCTATCATATAATAATTGACACTAAAATCACCACCGACAGGATATCCAGCTTCTTCGGGATACTCCATGATCTATTCAGATATATTTTATGTTTGGTACAATTCAACATGAATCTTACATCGTCACCACCAACAGACCACACACCGATAATAGTTGATGAGCACAGCGTGATTTGATCACGAATATGATCACACACATCATCAGGCAGATTTCCATCGTTGAATTGAGCCTCTGGATCACATTCGTAAATAGTCATATGGTGAACAAAGTTGCTACTGCCTGAATCGACTAGAATTTTATGCTACGAAAATAGATGCACTTAAGAGCGACAGACGGATCAAACATACTGCGATTGCATGTCGCTTGATCGGATATTTGGTTTGAGTCTTGAATACTTTGCAATAATAGGTCGTATCATCGGAGGGAACTAAATACTGACAAATGTACCAACACAATGAATACAATTTCATTCAATTAGTAACCTGTATGGTTCAAACGAAATTCGAATGAGTCCAGATTGGTATACTTGGTATCCGAAGGTTGATCAATATAATATCGAAGTGGAATCATGCGTGTACCTCTTCGACTCCCATGATAACTAATGTCACCATCTGGGCGAGCAGGATCGGGATCGACAAGACCATATGCATAGATAAGAATATTGGTTCCGGCCTAGAAAAATCGCATAGTTAAATCGATACAGATTATCTTTTACTTTAATTGGAACATCCATTGAATCACAAGTGTCAAGCAATCGCTGAAATTGAATAGCTGTCCATCCGTCTTGTTCACGACCTTGAAGAGCAAACCAATCTATACTTGTATCATCAATGACAGGTCTTGAACGATTGTACGCATGACGATCCTAAAGAGACAGATAAATCAAAGCAGATGACGTTCTTTTTACCTGAAAATGAACAGTGCTCATTGAATCTACCCATCCGATCCCAATATCAGAACCTGTCATATCGCCAGCTATAATTTTCAAATAGATCATCATTCAACTAATTTCATTTCTTTACCTGGACTAATGCCCAAAGCAATCCAGCCTGTAGTCTTAATATGCAACTCGAATGTAATCTCTCGTTCGGCATCGTCGACTGTCCACCATAGATCCGAGATATTTGCCTGGAGTTCAGTTGAATGTTTGTATTTGATGAACGGTTGAATAGGACTCGAAATTCCATTGCATGTGTTTACTATCACAAGTGATAAGAACAGCTGACACGTAAAGCACAGCCACATTGTCTGAATTGAAAGAACAATCAGATATATTTCGTAGTATACTAGCCTTCACATGTAAAACATTGTTGTCTGACGATACCTTTCACTCGATTACACTAAGCAAGTCATTTTTCTTTTCTACTTGTATTTCAATATATAATCATGTTAATCCGAGGATCAGCGTGCTTTTAATGTGATTATTCATTGTATTTTATCTATCGATGAGTATAATCTTGGCAATAATAATAGGATTTAGTCTCGCGGAGGATGGTATTATACTACTTCTTTGAAATACAAGAAACAATTGCAGGTATGATATCATCATCTAATTATTTATAGCGATTAAACGACTGTACGTTTAATCGACGACATAACTCTCCACCGAGAAAACTGAAGTCCTCGCAGTGGCCTAGTGACACAACTCGGGAATTAGACTAAAAAATCAAGAAATCAATGATTTTTTCAATACTCTCAATCTCAAAAAAAATGTTTTACTAACAACTGTTTTCAATGAATGATTATAAAAAAAAACGGTTATATTCTCGCAGTTTATCGATCCTTTATATAATAAAGATCGGATATCATGATTTACGGCATATTATAAAATGATCGTAATATACTAGGTAGATAAACGGCGAAATGAAATCGTTTACGAACGTTTATAGTCACTCTAAGCATTATTCAGGCTATTAAAAAGATAAGAAAAATGTAACTACTTCGTGGCGAAATGACACTGTCACAATCGTACCCATATTTTTTTATCTTTCTCTCTCTCCCCTGTCGGATGATGTGTGCATATGATCCTATCGGGTTCTATATAAGATTCGGTGTCGTATGTTGGCTTTGAATCTATCTCATTCGTAAATTCATCTTCATCTTTCTTGCAACAATATATTTTTTTATTAGATAAGTCAGAGAAGATTAGTTAGAAATATTAATTTTATAAAGATTTTACTTAAATAAAAGTATCTGTTTTAATTCTATCAATATAGAAGTAGAGTTAAAGAATTTTCAAGCTTTTTTCCTTCAATAATTGATAATGATATCGGAGCAATTAAATAAGATAATTGACTGTTGTGACAGTTCAAATTCCTTTTTATTAACTATCGAGTCTTATTAGGAAAACAATTGCCAAAGAATTGCTCTATGATAAAGATCTATGTTTCGATTGGAATATCTTTCGTTGAATAATAATTATATATTGGTTTTATTAAAAAGTGAATCAAATAATTAATTGTTAATTCGAATAACAATCATCTCCTCAATCATCAGAATCATAATAAACAGATAAATAAAATCTTCTATCTTCTGTTTCCAAACGATTACATAGTTCCGTCGAGATTTTGTTACTGACAAGTCTTAAGTCTTCGAGTATCTAAATACAACAATCAAGATAATTCGATGTACGATTACCAAAAAAGTTCGTTACTTCGTTGTTTTTCAAGACAAAAGCCAATTGTTGTGCTCCAGCATCTCCAATTTGATTTGATTCAAGATTAAGTGTAATAAGTACCTGAATGAAAAATTAAATGTCAATAAAAAATAAAATAAATAAACAAAATAAATGACTTTATTGTTTCTTAGGACATCAGCTAAGTATTGTGCTCCAGCATCTCCAATTTGATTTGATTGAAGATCAAGTGTAATAATTGTCTGAACGAAACAGAAAATGTCAATACAAAATTAAATATATTAACAGAATAAATAACTTTATTCTCTCTTAAAATGTCAGCTAAGTGTTGTATTCCAATATCTCCGATTTCATTGCCACCAAGATTTAATTCTGTCAGCGTCTGTGGAAAGATTGAATGTAAATCTGAGAGAGAACGAAAAATCTTACTATATTGTTTCTTAATGCATCAGAGAGATATTTTGCTCCATTGTCTCCAATTTGATTGAAATAAAGTTCCAGTGTAGTCAATGTCTATGTAGAAAAAGAATTTTGTATGAGAGAAACAAAATAAATGATAGTATGATACTTGATTGTTTTTTAATGCGTTAGCAAAATATTGTATTTCTTTGTCTCCAATTGTCTCGCTTGGAAGATATAATGACGTGACAGTCTAAATCAAAGAATGATAATTATAATAAAATATAGTTTAAGTAATGTCCAACCATACTTTGTTGTTTCATAACTCAATTGTCGCTTCTACAACTGCGCAATAACCACTTGAACTATTATTTAGTTTCAATTCTTCCAATGTCTATACGAATAAGTAAAAATTTATTTTTACAAAAAGAAGATTGATCAATCTATATTACTGTATTATTTTGTAAGGCATCAGCTAAATATCGAGCGCCAGTATTAGTGATTACATTCGTTTCTTCTCCATAGCTATGGAGTATCAGTCTAGTAAGTGTCTAGATGTTAAATAATGTAAATATATATAGCAATAAAAAGATTGAGAATAATTCCTCACTTTGTTGTTTTTCATAGCATCACCCAAATATTTCGCACCAATGTCACCAATTCGATTTTTTGAAAGATCGATCGAAGTGATTGTCTGTTTAAAAATAAAACCATTATTCCTGGTTATATCAATTCAAAAAATATTTTACAGTATTATTTTGTAAGACATTAGCTACATATTGTACTCCAATGTCATTTATTTCATTATGCGAAAGTGTCAATATTTCTAATGTCTGTACGAAAAGATAAAATTTAGTATAAAAATAATATTCTTCATATTATTAATTACTTTGTTATTTTGTAATGCGTCACATAAATGTTGTACTCCTCTTTCACCGATTTTATTCTCCGAAAGATTTAACTCGGTGATTGTCTGTATTAGAACGAAAAATGATCATTTGTGGAACAATATAGAGATATTATGTTACTTCGTTGTTGTGTAATGCTTCACTCACAAATTTAATATCATTGTCGCCGGTACTTTTATGTTTAAGATCTATTTTAGTGATTGTCTGTAGAAAAGTCAAAATTGATCATAAATAATCTGATAAAAATGAATCACTTTGTCGTTTCGTATCTGAACTGCTGCACTGATACTTGTGCAATAGCTACCAGGATTTCCTTGGAGTTCCAGTTTGATAAGTGTCTATGCCAAAAAATAAGGATCAATTCAAAATAAACATTTTATTATAATCTTACTTTGTTATCTATCAAAGCATTATATAAATACTGTAAATCATTATCTTCTATTTGATTTTCTTCAAGATCGAGGGCGAGTAGTGTCTATGAAAAGAAACGACAGCTTATTTTGCTTGACATGACTGTAAATAATATCTCACTTGGTTGTTTCGCAGTGCATCAGCTAAATATTGTACACCGATGTCTCCAATTTGATTCCAAGAAAGATCCAAAATAGTTAGAGTCTTTAGAAAAAATAACAAATATGAAAATAAGAATGAGTGTTAAAAATATTTATAGTTTGATTCTGCCAGAATTAAAGATGTACGAGACTAAGAATGAAATTTTACTGGGCCGGAGATCCAATCATACTAGTAAACTGTATAAAATCATAAACTTTGGTATTACTAAAATGAATTCTTCGTAGATCATAAATCGATTTATTATTACACATAATGAAACATTGACGGACATCATTGTTTAAAATTCCTTCGTATTTATCTTAAGGTAAACTTTTTGCATAAGGAGATTTCACTAGATATCAAGTGGAGACCGAATAACATTATATTTTTGGCTGTGAAAATAGAAACGTGGTCTCGCATATCTTCAGGCGGAATACAGTAGCTAGATATTCTACTCCAATATCTTCAATTACATTCTCTTCGTGCTGGCTTCGACTTATCAATCTGATGAGTGACTGTGTTACAAAATGTCAATATAGAAAATATAACTAACTCTAAAATTACCGTATTCTTTTGTAAAACATCACTCAGATATTTCACTCCAACATCTCCGATGCTGTTGTGTGACAAATTTAATGTTGTGAGTGTCTATTAAGTAGAATAACGATTAGTTCAACTTAAGTAATTATGGTAAATATCTCACTTTATTCGTTTTTAATGCATCAGCAAGATACTTTGCTCCTTCATCTCCGATTCGATTTCTTTGGTCATCATAAAGATTAGTTACCATTGAAGATGACTATGCGAAAGAAAATGACAATGAATATGAATGAGAAGAATTAAATACATTTTCACGCATAAAGTGGAAGCCGTTGTAATGGCTTTGTTGGCAAAATGTTATCCATTGTTTTATTGTTTGTTTCTGTTGATAATCAATTCCCAGTATCAGTGAAGTAAGAGTCTACACGAAAGAATAGATATAGATAAAAGAAGAAAAGCCAGTTACTTTATTGTTTTGCAACATATCAGATAAATTTTGTGCTCCTGTTTCCCCGATTTTATTTTGCGAAAGATCTAATTCGATGATTGTCTAAGTCAAAATAATAAGATGATCATTGATGAAACAATATAAAGAAAGTATGTTACTTCATTATTGTGTAATGCTTCACTCACAAATTTTATCTCACTATCACCAATATTCTTATCTTTAAGATTCATTTTAGTGATTGTCTGTAGAAAAGTCAAAATTTATGATAAATAATCTGGTTGAAATGAATTACTTTATCGTTTCGTATCTGAATTGCTGCACTCACAGTTGTGCAATAGCTACTTGGATTTCCTTGGAGTTCCAATTGGATAAGTGTCTATGTCAAGAAATAAGACTATTTAAGGTAAATGATAAGCGTTGAAATCTCACATTATTTTGTTTTAGAGTCTCATTAAGATATTGTATTCCATCATTTGTGATTTTATTGTATGAAAGATTTAGAATGGTAAGTACCTGTAGAAAAAAAGTAAAGATTGTTATGATCGAAAATGTGAGAGTGAAATATGACTTTGTTGTTTTTTAATACATCAATTAAATATTGTGCTCCAGTGTCACCGATTCGATTGCGTGAAAGATGCAGTTCAGTGATTGTCTGTGTCGTAAACAAAAACGAGATGAAAAATGACATAAATCAAGAAAGGTGTTACATCGTTGTTACGAAATTCATCGGCTAAAAAGCGTGCCGCATCATCTCCGATGTTGTTGTGTTGAAGACTGATTCTTTTGAGTGTCTGAAGAGAAAAATCGAAGATATATAAGATAAAGCCTAAAGAAAATTTGTCACTTTATTGTTTCGAACTTGGATTAATGAACCAATGACTGTAGAATAACTCCCAATATTTCCTTTTAATTTTAGATGAATAAGTGTCTATGTGAAACAATGAATATCAATGCAAGAGTCAATGTTATTGTAATCTAACTTTATTATCTCTTAGAGCATTAGCCAAATATTGCAAACCATTATTTTCTATTCGATTTCCTTTAAGATTTAGATTGATTAGTGTCTGTGAAAAGAAATAAGAATTGATATGACTGTAAAAAAATTTTTACTTGGTTATTTCGTAACGCATCAGCCAAATATTGTACACTAATATCTCTAATTCGATTCCAAGAAAGGTCTAACATAATTAATGTCTTTGATGAAAAACAATAAAAATGAAAATGAGAATACAAATTAAAAATATTTTACTTTATTATCTCGTAATACATCAGACAAACATTGTATTCCAATGTCTCCAATTCCTGCATATTGTTTTCCAAGAATCAAATTCATAAGTGTCTGTGTTACAAAATATCAACATAGGAAATGAAAATATATCTAAAATTACCGTATTCTTTTGTAATCCATCACTGAGATATTTCATTCCAACATCTCCGATGCTGTTCTGTGACAAATTTAATGTTGTCAGTGTCTATCAAGTAAAGCAACAATTAGTTCAACTAAAGTAATTATGGTAAATATCTCACTTTGTTCGTTTTTAATGCATCAGCAAGATACTTTGCTCCTTCATCTCCGATTCGATTTGCTTGGTCATCATATGGATTTGTTGCCATTAGAGACGACTATGCGAAAGAGAATGAAGTTTAATATAATTGAGTGGAATGGAATAGATACCCGAGATGTGAAGTAGTACGTTGAGTTTTGATAAAATTCTTCCGTTTGTTTCTCTTGATAATCAATTCCCAGTATCAGTGAAGTAAGAGTCTATACGAAAAAGTTCAAATTTAGATCAAAGAATAAAATAATAAATCACTTTATTGTTTTGTAATGCGTTAGCTAAATGCTGTGCTCCAGTATCACCGATTTGATTATACGAAAGATGTAATTCGGTGACAGTCTACATCACAACAAAAAAATGGTCATTGATGAAACAATATAAAGAAATTATATTACTTCATTATTGTGTAATGCTTCACTCATAAATTTTATCCCACTATCACCAATATTCTTATCTTTAAGATCCATTTTAGTGATTGTCTTTAGAAAAGCCAAAATTTATGATAAATAATCTGGTTGAAATGAATTAC